TCTTTCCACAGTTTGGCTATTGTGGACATTGCTGCTATAAACATTGGGGTACATGTACCCCTTCGGGTCCCTACATTTGTATCTTTGGGGTAAATACCCAGTAGTGCAATTGCTGGATCGAACGGTAGCTCTAATTTCAACTGTTTGAGGAACCTCCATACTGTTTTCCAGAGGGGTTGCACCAGCTTGCATTCCCACCAACAGTGTAGGAGGGTTCCCCTTTCTCCACATCCCCGCCAACATCTGTCGTTCCCTGACTTGTTAATTTTAGCCATTCTGACGGTGTCACACATGTTTTTAAGTTCAATAATCTTTTCTTCTGCAATGTCTAACCTTACGCTAATCCATAAAGCATATGCTTCATCTCCCACATTGCATTTTTCATCTGTGGAAGGTGAATTTTGTCTTTTTAATTTCATCTATGTCTCTACTCAATTTTTCCATTAGCCTCTTGAATACATACAACACAATTTCATAACTGTTTGCATATCAATTATATCAACAGTGTCAATTATAGGATGATTATGTTTAATTGATTTTTCTCTTAACTATGGGTATTTTCATGCTTCTCTGCATTAGTGGTAATATTTGATTGCATGATAAACATTACGAATTCTTCCTTATTGGGTGCTAGGTATTTTTATATTCCCATAAATATTCTTTAGCTTTGTTCTGATATGCATTTAAGTTACCTGGAATCAGTTTTATCATTTAAGATCTCACTTTTAAGTTGCTAGTAAGACCAAAGCAATGTTTATCCTAGGACTAATATTTTCCTATTGCTGAAGCAAACACCTTCTGAGTACTCTACATGGCATCCCACGAATTATAAGGTTTTATACTCTTGCTGGTGGGAGGAGGAAACTCCCAGCCTGTATGAGCTCTAGGGATTGTTCCCTCTAATCCTACAGGGTGGTTCATTCCCAGCCACGTGAATACACTGATCATTAGTCAATTGAAGACGCAGTAAGAACACTATGCAGATCTCCAGAACTCTCTGTCTGTTCAGCTTTCCCTTCTCTGGGACACTTCCCTGGGCATTTTAGCTGACTTAATCTCCCCAAACTCTCAGCTCTATCTCCTCAACTCTGGCAGCTCACTAGTCTCTACTCACATCCCCCTCCCTGTACTATGATCTGGAAACCCGCTAGACAGTCAGCTGTGGCAATAAACCTCATTTATTTTCCATCTCTCAGAGGTTACTCTCCTTTGTTGTCTGAGGTATAATGTCTTGCAATTTGTTATTTCATATGTTTTGTCCATTTTTATTTGTTTCACATAAAGAGTAAATTCAGTATGTGTACTCCATCCTGACCATGAGGAATTTATTCATTCTAAATGTTTCATAAGTGTCTTAAGTTGAGTTCTTTTTTTTTTTTTTTTTCCAGTACATGAGAAAAAATATGGGTCAAGAACTCTGGCTGCCTCCTATTCCTTTCTTTTGGTTTCACACCCAATTATCTCCAGGCAATTCGACATGGAATTACCAGTTTTGAGAGAATAGTTATATCAATTTACTATGAATCCACTAAGTAGAAATAATGTTTATAAATATTTTAATGACAAGCAGAAGTGTTTACAATCTATATTGTGCAAAAAGATTATTAAAATTCTATGTATCTATATATCTCAAATAAATGCCTTATGCAAAGATAGTGGGAGGGAGGGCAGGGAGTGAGATGAAATATGCCAAAATGTTAGCAACCGTATCTGGATGGTAAGATTGTGAGATTTTCTTCCTCTTTGGATCTTTTCTTTTTCAAATTATACAATAGATGTGTATTATGTTTAAAAAGACTAACTCGTGTTCTTGTTTTTATTTCTAAGAATGAAATTTAAGGAGATAAAAAATGAGAGATAATTTTAATGGAAAGCTACAGAAAGTCAAAGATTACTGCTTAGCCACGTCTCCTAGGATCTCAGGCACTCTTTTGTTTGGTCTTGCAGCAATAAACATACCCATATGTTCCTATAATGAAGGCCGAGATTATAAAACGTCATGAAAAAATAGGAATTGAGCAGCCAGAATTTAGCAAACAATGTTTTATTCTCACAGTGTTAGGAAGAAAGGAGCCAACTCATAAAATGTTAATAGTGCTGTCTTCGGTAATGGCTAAAATGTTCCACCTTGTAATGGAACTCAGGAAAATGCTTCTGAAACATTCTGGAAGTTTAAAGAAAATTGATGGGAGAGAGCTTTAGTTAATGAACTCTACCTTCTCTTGGTTGCCAAATTAAGAGACCTCAGTGGACTATTTGATTCTTAGGTCAGGTTCCTTCCATGATCGTTTTACAGAGAAGAGAAACAGTAAGTAGAAAGGAGGTACAGAGAATTCATCCACTAATTCACTCAGTCAACAAGAATACACTTGTGTCTATGAGACAAAGCACTAAGTATGGCTTTTTATAGTTGAAGGAGCACCGTCTTGTTCTTAGAATCAAACAGACCTGAATTCAAAACCTAGCTCGGCCACTTCAAAAAGAGTAACCACAGGCAAATTTGTAACCCCCCCTGAGGATCAGATTTCATTTCAACAAATCATGAAAACAAATTATCTCATAGAAGTGATGTGATCATGAAGTAAAACAGCAGTGTTGAGCATATGGAAGGCATTCAAATCTATATTCATCCAATAAAATCTGGGCAGCTATAAGTGAGTAAGATATTCTCTTTTCATTCCAAGAGGTCCCCAACTAGCTACAGGACAAGATATGTGCAAATAAAACAGCTGTTGTAGGTGAAATATAATTGAGCATCCTAATATTTACTATGAAAGGTAGAAGCCAAGAAAGGGAAGACATCCCAAGGAGCTGAAATGGTCAGAGCATGTAGACTTAAACTGAGTCTCTAGATGTATGAAGACTTTTTTTAAAAATTTATATACACAGTTTTATATATAATGCAGCATCACGTCACATAGGACATTTACTCTTGTTTCATATACTCAGATACATTCAAAATAGTTCTTAAGGCTACAAAACAGAACACGGATACATAAACAAGAATATATTCTATACTTACAAAAAGTGATGCTATAAAGCATATAAAGTACTATTTTCCTTTCAACACTTCAAAAGATATGTATACTTTTTTTTAATAAGTAACATCACAGATGATCACATCTTCACATGCTTTTAAGTATTATTTGTACTCAGTGTAAGGTTATAGCCATTTTCATACATAAAAATTTTCCTAGCCCTGTAACAATGGCAATTTTTAATCCACTCAAGCCATCACTCCCATCCTATAAAAGAAAAGCTGAACAAACTGAAAATCAACTCTTCTTAGCTCTGTTGGAGAATTGAGCTTCCCAGGGAAAACCGTTGCCCCCAGAATTGGAGAGACAGACAGGCAGAAACAAAAACAGCTTACCAGGCCAGAAATGCACAAGCAGAAACCGCTGTGGGAACTGTTACTAGGGAGGAAAACCGAAACTGTAATTGACAAATTATTGGATGCTCCATGTGGACAACTCTGACAGTTAAAATGAATCTCTAAAAAAGAAATAGAATCGGCCAAGAGGAAGGACAGCCCATTGAGTGATGGCTGTGTTGTTATCTCAGTCTTAAACAGATTAAGTGGATGAACCCATTTAGATGTGGTGGATTGTATAGATGCACTTGTCTTTAAAACATCCCAAGATCCGACTGTACGTGGTAGTGAAGGGATCTTAGAAGGTGTAGATGCATAAAACAAAAGGAAAACAGGAACATGGACAGATGGGCGATTTCTACAACACTGTGAACATGAGAAAAAGAAAAGAGGTTTCTGGTTCATCCGAGCCAAACAATGCAGTGAAGTGGCAACAAAGAGAGAAGGAGCTGCCTTCAGCTGCAGATCTTAGAGACCGGAGGGAGAGACATGGGGTGAAAAACCACCCTAAACTCAAAGTCAGCTCTGCCAAGTTTCCCTCGCCGGTCCATCTCACTGAGGGGCAAGTGCAGCTGGACCGACAAAGAATCCAAAAACTATGTCATCACTAGCTCTCTCACCCTTCTTTAATTTTCTTCCTAACCCCGTCACCACATGGCCTTCTGTTATCTAGTTAGTTGTTCATTGATCCACTATTTATTTTCCCCACAAGCAAGCACACTCCAGGAAGACGGGGCCTTGGTTGATCTTCAACTCTTCTTCCTTAGTGCCTGACAAAGAGTAAGCACTCAGCCAACATTTGTGACAGGAATGAGTAAATAAATGGATGGATGGATGGATGGATGAACCAAGCCATGAATGAACAAAAGGGATATCACACAGAAACTTCCTTCTAGTCTCAGACTTAGCACATTTTCCCCTGAGTCTTGGGGGCTTTGGATTAGCACAGGAAAATTTTCCAAGAGGAAGGAGTACCATGAGCAAAGTCACATGGAAGAAGGAGGCACAAGCCACAGAGAGAGTCGAGATTTGCCAGACTAGGTTAGGACTGCTTCTGTGGGGCTCTTTCATAATTTTCTTAGAGAAGATCCTCTATTTTCCTTCACTGGACCTCTCAGAGCTCTCAATATCAACATACTTCTTAGTGTAGCTATTATAAATCTTTCCCCTTGAAATTTCTGATTTTTTAAATTTGCCATCTTTGGCTCTAGTGTTCATGCAGGCTGGCAGCTCTGTCCCTCAAACAGCCCATCCCTCCATCCAGAGGAGATGCAACTGCAGAGGATCAAGGTCATCGGAGGGAACCGCAGGCTGTGTTCCCTACTTCTACCCAGCATTATGCAGATCATTTTTCCTCACAGGGAAAGCAAATGTCACTCACTCATGAGTGGGATAATTTCCCCTCCTAACAATCGGTGCTGCTAGCTCACGAGGATCTAGCGCCCTCACCAACATTTGGACATAGACCAACAGAAATTTATGGGGGAACAAAAAACTAGACAGATTTTTTTTTTAATGAAGAAAACTACTGAAGGTTCATTAGATTAATCTCCAAGTCTGTAAACTAAAGTGGCATCATGGTGCTAGACATAACACCCAGGTCTCCTGACCCCACAGCCTGAGTCACCCACTGCCGGAGTCGTAGGTTACAAAGAGGAGCTCACAGTGACTTATTTCAGTTTACAGATGCTTCTACCCATCCCATCACAGGTCACTTGAATGCAGTGTTAAAGCACCCGGGATGTGATATTCTACCTGTGAAATATCTTTGCACTACTTTCTATTGCAACCTATTTAAATATGTCACTGAGTCTAAAAATAGACCTACTTCCTTAAGTCCTGCCTTTGCTTCCATATAACCTACAGAGGAAAATAGTACCAGAGGCCAAGCTCCTTTTCTAACGCCTCCTGCAAGCATGAGCTAAGAACAGGGAGTGAAGTCCCAGACTATAATTACCTCCTCTTATACAACCTGAAAGCAGGTCTCAGGAGGTGTCTTAAAAAACCTAGTTTCCCTCACCCATTATGCCTGCACCTATGCTTTATAGTTGGCCATTCACTCAATAAATATTTACAAGGTCTTAACTATTCTTGTTGCAGTAGGGGATATACAGTATTAAAAGTCTGCCACGTCCCTGCTTTCCCAGAGCTTCCAGGGTAATTAGTGACAGGATGATACATCCTGAGTTTCTGGAAGAGTCCTGGTTACAAATGTTTTGCAAACTATAATATATTATTGCAGAATTTTCTATTTTTCTTTATTAAAAAAGCAAGAAAAAAGCAAGAAAGTGTTGATTATGTAGCTTAGTAAGTGAGCACACTCTAATATTAAAAAAAAAACCAAAAAACAGAAATCCAAAACTTTTGAGTGCTATTAAACATCAAAACATAAAAGACGGGATCTGACACATGCAAAACCTTCCTAAGGAGACAGAGTGGCTCCTAAAGCAGAATAAATAGCCAAAATGGTAGTATTAATAAACGTAAAAAACAAAGGGGTCAAAGAGAAAGTGATCAGAAAAAGAGGCACAGAAAATGGGAAGTCAAAGAAGAAATAATGTTAGTGCTTATTTTTTTTTAAAGATTTTATTTATTTATTTGAGAGAGAGAGAATGAGAGATAGCGCGAGAGGGAAGAGGGTCAGAGGGAGAAGCAGACTCCCTGCTGAGCAGGGAGCCAGATGTGGGACTCGATCCCAGGACTCCAGGATCATGACCTGAGCCGAAGGCAGTCGCTTAATCAACTGAGCCACCCAGGTGCCCAATGTTAGTGCTTATTAAACATTATCCAGTTAAAGAGATACAAATCCTGGAGAAGACAAGCCATTCCAGTGTGTGTGTGTGTGTGTGTGTGTGTGTTTCTGCTGGCAAAACTGGAATGCTCCATCAGACCTGGCTGAAATATCCCTCAAGTCTTTTCACTGGCTCTCCAAGCAACATGTGCATTGCAATCTGCTTCCCCATGTAAATTTTCTCTAAGGCAATAATGTGTTGTCCAGCAAACACAAACCATCAGTTTAGCAACTAGCCAATTGGCCACAACAAGCTCACTTCAGTCTTGAAATTTTTCAAGCTCACAACCTAACAAAATACAATTTAATTTTATAAGTGTATTTAAAATATTATATAAAGAAACTCACAAATTGAAAAAAAAAAAAGATCTGGCCAAGTATGTCAATATTTGGAAAAAATAGTCAGCAGCTGTATAAAGGACACAAATAACATCCACTCCAAAGCACTTGGAGAAGAGTAATATATAAGTGATGAATATTTAATGCCACATGAAATATGAAGAGAAAGAAATTATGTCTTACTGAGGAAATCCAGAAAAACATCACAGAGGAGGTGGTTATCAACTGAGCCTTGAAGGATGGATAGGAAAATGATGAGCAAAAACTGAGAGGAGCTAAGGTGATTACTCCCAAAAAATAAAACATAGAGGTTGGAAAAACGTGTTCAATATGCCGGAAATGGAAAGTAGATCAAAGGGGTTTGATATGAATTTAAAATAAGACTAAGTTCAAATGGCAAAAGCCCATGAGACACCAGACTGGGGAGTCTAAACATTACATGAGAACAATGTAAAACCAACTAAGCTTTCCGATGAAGGAGGGGACATAACGGATGATACTGTAGGAATTAGGCAAGGCTAAAAAATGAGCCAGAGCTGCAAACTGCAAAGCACTCTTTTAGCTACCAATAATTTACACTGGAGTGTGAAAATATTGTATTGATAATTTTATGAGAAACTCAGATACCTCCATGAAAGGAAGCTAAAATAAAAGGTGGAAGTCAGAGAGCTTTGGAGGACTGGATCCTAGATCACATTGTATTATCATAATATGGGGAAGGGCATGAATCCTGGGCTGTTTCACATTTTGACTGAAACTTACAAGTCCTCACCTGCAGGGTCCAGGAGACAGTTTTGCAAGAAGATCCTTGACAGGAAGGTATTAAAGACTAGAATACATTTATTTCAGAAGTGTTCCACAGGTGAGTATTACTGAGATGTATCTATATGCAAAATCTTTCATGTGGAGTCATAGAAACTCTGGAGCTCTGAAAAACTGTGTGTTTGGGTTGAAATTAGAGCTACCATTCGATCCAGCAATTGCACTACTGGGTATTTACCCCAAAGATACAAATGTAGGGACCCGAAGGGGTATGTGCACCCCAATGTTTAGAGCAGCAATGTCCACAATAGCCAAACTGTGGAAAGAGCCAAGATGTCCATCGACAGATGAATGGATAAAGAAGAGGTGGTATATATACACGATGGAATATTATGCAGCCATCAAAAGGAATGAGATCTTGCCATTTGCAACGATGTGGATGGAACTGGAGGGTGTTATGCTTAGTGAAATAAGTCAATCAGAGAAAGACATGTATCATATGACCTCACTGATATGAGGAATTCTTAATCTCGGGAACAAACTGAGGGTTGCTGGAGTGGTCGGGGGTGGGAGGGATGGGGTGGCTGGGTGATAGACATTGGGGAGGGTATGTGCTACGGTGAGCACTGTGAATTGTGCAAGACTGTTGAATCACAGATCTGTACCTCTGAAACAAATAACGCAACATATTTTAAGAAAAAAGAAAAAGAAGAAGATAGCAGGAGGGGAAGAATGAAGGGGAGTAAGTCGGAGGGGGAGACGAACCATGAGAAATGATGGACTCTGAAAAACAAACTGAGGGTTCTAGAGGGTAGGGGGGTGGGGGGATGGGTTAGCCTGGTGATGGGTTTTGAGGAGGGCACATTCTGCGTGGAGCACTGGGTGTTATGAACAAACAATGAATCATGGAACACTACACCAAAACAAATGATGTAATATATGGTGATTAACATAACAATAAAAATTTTTTTAAAAAACTGTGTGTTTGGGGAGAGGGCAGAAAGGCAAGAAGACTTTCCTTCTTTGAGTCCAATAATTTTTTAAGGTGGATAGAACTGGGGGAAGAGAGTTTATTGTACTGGTCACCGCTTCTCAAAAACCAGATGTTTAAGAACAGGAGAACTGACCTGAACGCAAGTCAGGAGGTTCAGCAAAAAGGAAATATATTTGAAGTTGAGAATTCCATTTCACAAAATCATCATATGTGAAGGCTTGGGCTTTGTAATGTTAACTTGCACACAATGCTGGCTATGAAGTGCAAGAAAAACAAAACAGTGACTGTTGCTGAGAAGGCTGTTTAATTCTTTATTACTCAAAGTGTCATGGTGTGGCATAAACGAGGGACCCATTTCCAGTTAAGACTTTAAGCAGAAAATAGCATTAACATCAAAGGGGGAGAAAGTCCTCTTCGATCTACACAGTGTGTAGACCACCTTCCCCTTCAAGGAGGACATGAGGAAGAAGACAGAACATCAGTACTCAGGAGTAGAGAAGAACTTGCAGCATCATGAAGTCATTCTCACAGTTAGAAAGCAAAGATTGCGAACTCTTGGTCATAGGTTATTAGTAAGAAGAATCGCAACTAGAGATCTCAGCTAAGATCAGGCCAGGAGCAGAATGGAGCACAGAGAATGGTGGATGAGCCATACCACCCTCTAAGCAATTCCTTGGCTGTCCTGCTTAAAGGTTTAACTAGTTCCCTTAAGAGAAAGAACTGAGTATTTCTATCAAAATCTACTATGTGCCCTACTAATTATAACTATATTCACTTCAATAAGTGTAGATCATTTAATTAAAGGGTAAATATAATGCTACCTTAAATCAGGCTCCATTGGATTTCATTTTCCCAGCCCTGGATAATATTTTAGACAGATTCCATAGGTTGTATAGTTATAAGAACCACCTCACTTTGATCATTCATACCCATTTTCTGGTAGTAAGGTATTAAAATACCCAGTCCAGTCTAAGTTAAAACTGCAATCTCACAGCCTATTCAAAGATTCTCCCCTCTCCTCATTCATGCCAACAACTGAGGCCTGGAGACCTAAGTGGGGAAGGAAATGGAAGCATATCTTTGACCACTTCTCATGACCTATGCCTCCTTTTCTACTCACTATGTAGCTTCTGGTTCTTGCCTAGAATAGTAGAACGAGTATTAGAAAGACAAAAAGTTAAGTATCTTTACTCACACTTAGTGGCTACCATGTCTTCTTGTGGCCATCCATGGCCATTGCATGGGGAAATTTGTGAGTTCTTCAAAAACCATCCCTTTTGCCCTGAGGGAATCCTCACACTATGGTTTCTTGACTTGGTTAATGCATTTTCCTGAGGGCCGTTTGCAATACCCAAAGGACAGCCCAGGAGTTCACACCACACGCAGCCTCTGTATCTACATAATCCTCACCCCAGCTGGCAACCTTCTTGGGTGAAGAATCTTCAAAACCAATCTCTGTTACTTTCCACAGCATCAATTTGACCCAGGAGGAATATATGAATCCTTGCCTTGATAAATTACGGAAATGTAACTTGTTTTATCAAGACATATTCCTATTTGTGGGCAGTACATCTTGTCCACTCTTAGCAGAAAATTGTCTAGGACAGAGAATGAAAACTGACTAGAAAGAAAGTCAGGGAGAAGAGAGTTAATATTTATGGAGGACCTCCTATATAGAAGTAAGTTGAACTAAAAGAGGTGAAATGATTCGTTATGGAGAGTAATCATCGTTTTATTCTCCCAGTTACTCTGCTTTTATGGGAACTTTTCTACCACCTCCCCGACATTTTCTGTGAACTGTACCCTGACATAAACATACACATATGTTGTCACCCACATGGCTGAGAAAATGAAGGCTTTGGTCACTCTTGGCCTTGGCCTTACCTGTCATGTCTACTACAGGAGGGAGAAAACCATACGCAGCCAGAAAGAAGAATGAAGCATATTTCCCAGAGTGCCACATTTTCAGGTTCTATCTGAGCTTGAGACTCAATTTCATTCTTGCCTTTGAGTTCCATGAGTCACCCCCTGCTATCTTGTAGCTTGAGCTAGCTAAGCTGGAATATGTTGTCTTCAACGAAATCGCCCTTAACTAATACACCCTCTCAAGATCTAAAGGCTGCAAAGGTAACAAAGATCCAAACTCAGGCCTGCATGATCCCAACATTTGTTCCACGACCCACAATGCCAAGAGATAATACTATGATGTGCTGATAAGAACAAGTGCAGGTCTGGGATGCATAGACAGAATGCTAGCAGTCAGAATATACTCAGAACTCATCAAATTCATATCTTCTGAATGTTTCAGCTCAGCAGCTAAGGAATGGTCAGAATAAATTGAAGAATGTTCCCTAGAGAGCCATAAAAGAAGATTAAAGAGTTGGAAATGAGAAAAAGCACATAGTATGTATTGCCTCTACAATTCAATTGACACTTCATATCCTCCATCCAAACATCTTTCTCATTATGGTCTTATGCTGTTTTTTAATATTTTCTGTCTTTGTCTCATTTTCCCCCAAAAGCTTCTGAGCTTCTCGACATCATGTTTTTTGTTGTATTCAATAAACAATAAATATTGTGTTAAATGAGCTAAAATTGAAGGTACACAGCCTATTCATACACCGGGGACTAAGAGAACAATTTAATAATTTGTTATGAATGTCTGCATTGATGGGAACTGACTTCTCTCCATACCATAACCAGAAGAAGAGGAAGAATTCTCACCTACTAGCATGAGATAATTAGTTAATATTATGGATAAATTTCTCCAAATTGGAGCAATCATTGTGGAATATGTCACAGGAGGAAAAGCCTTAGAGATTTGGCTTCTTCAGAGGGGTATGTGTCATTGTCTAGGGCAATTTTGGTTTTGATCCTTTTAATTTCTCACTTAGTAAAGGTTATGGACTTCATGACTCTTCTTTAAGTCTCTCCAAGACCTATAAAGACATCAGACAAGAGTGGAATTGCTGAACAGACAGCCCAAAACAGTGATCCTGGAAAGAAAGGGAGCAAATGAGATGAGCCCTGACATGGCCTGATCACTATGCCTAAGGAGTTTCTAGGCTGCAACATAGAGAGGGGGACCCAAACAGAGGCTTATGGTCTCACTGAGCTGAGGGGACATAGTTCTGTTTTCAGGGAGCCCAAAGTAGCTAGAATGTGTGAGGTGAAATACCAGAAATAAAAGAGTAGGTAGAATAATTTCTGGAGCTCACAAGAGACAGGAACAGTTGAGGTTTTCCACTAGGCAGGGAGGAGAAACCTCCTAGTTCATGGAGCATTGGTTAGAGCCCTTAGAAAGTCATTGCCTAGACCAAGTTAAATCTACTAAATCTACCCTGAGCTCACCCTAACAGAGCTGAAGATCAAATCTCAGAAGTATCTAGCTAATTTGAAGTAACTTACCTGCATCCCAGAATATAATCCGACAATATTTAAAGGAATACCAAAGAACCCAGGACCCAAAAATGTAAAATTCAACATCTCCAACAGCAAATAAAATAATCACCGGGCTGACAAAGAAGTTGGGAAATGAATACCTCCCAACCAAGAGAGCAATGAAAAGAATCAATAGACACAGAAATGCCAGAAATGTCATAGATGATAGAATTAGCACACATTAATAGTAAACCAGCAAATAAATACACTCCATGTGCTTAAGAACATGATGTGAAAAAATAAAAAATATTGTGAAAATATAAATCAAACTCTAGAGATGAAAAATAGGATATCTGAAATGACAAATACACTGGATGCAATCAACAGCGGATTTGACATTGATGAAGGTAAGAGCATCAAATTTGAAGACAGAGATTTTACCCAAAATGAAAGAAGTAAAATAGAAGATTAAAAAAAAAAATGGAAGAGCATCTCTGACCTGTGGGATGAAATTAAATTATCTAACATATATGTAATTGAAGTTCCAGAAGGGGGAGTCAGAAAAAAGTGAGGAAATAATGGCCAAAAATGTTTTAAAAATTTGATAGCAACTAGGGCACCTGGGTGGCTCAGTTAGTTGGGCATCTGACTCTTGATTTCAACTCAAGTTGTGATCTCAGGGCCATGGGATTGAGCCCGGCATCGGACTCTCCCTGGGCGGAGAGACTGCTTGGGATTCTCTCTCCCCCTCCCTTTGCCCCTTCCCCAACTGGCACGGGGGGTACTCTCTCTCTCTCTCTCTCTCTTAAAAAAAAAAAAATTTGATTGCAACTATACACCAAAGGTCCAAAAATCTCAGTGAACTCCAAACAGAAAAAGAGTTGAATGAAATTATACCAAGGCACAGCATAAACAAATTGCCAGAATGAACAGTAATAACGAGAATACCATAAAAACAGCCAGACAAAAGTGACACAAGATAAGAATGATCACAGACGTCTCATCAGAAACTATGAAAGAGAGAAACTTTTAAAGCACTGAAAGGGAAAACAAACAAACAAAAGAAAAAGGGAAAAAATTGTCAGTCTATAATTCCATTCCCACTAAAAAATATCTTTCAAAAAATTAAGGTAAAGACTCTTTCAGACATACAAATCTTGAGAGAAGTCATTGCCCACAGACCTGTCCTACAAGACATACTAAAGGAAGTTTTCAGGCAGAAGAAGAATGATCCCAGAAGAAAAAAAAAATGCATCTGAAATATGGAAGAAAAACACTGGAAATAGTAAATATATGGGTAAATACAAAAGACTTTTTTTCTTATTTTTCCAAATTTCTTTGTAAAGATAATTGAATGTTTAAAGCAAAAATAAGAATGATAGATTGTGGTTTCTAATACATATGGAAATAAAATGTACAAAAACAGTAACATAAGATACAGGAGGGGGACATGAAATTATACTATAATTAAGTTTCTTAAAATATCTGTAAAGTGATATACCATTATTTGAAAGTACAATGTGATAAGCTAAAGATGCATATTGTAAACCTACCAAAATAGAGTAACAAAAAAAGATACAGCTAATATACCAAGAATGGAGATAGAATGGTTTAAAAAAATACTTAATCCAGAAAAAGGTAAGAAAAGAGAATAAAGAACAAAGAAAAGATGGGACAAAAGAAAGAAAGTAGCATAAAACATTCTGAACATCATTAGTCATTAGGGAAACGTGCATAAAAGTCATAGGGATGTACTACAACACACCTTCTCAAAAGGCTAAAATTAAAAAGATTTACTTGCAACATCCACTTTTCGCGAGGATGCAGATCACTAGAACTGTCATACATTGCTGGTAAAAATACAAATGCTATAGCCACTTTGGAAAAGAATGGAGCAGTTTATTTATTTACTTATTTATTTATTTGAGAGAGAGAGCACATGCGCATGCATGCACACATGAGTGGGGGGAGGGCAGAGGAAGAGGGGGAGGTGCAGAGGGAGAGGGGGAGGGGTGAAGGGAGAAGCAGACTCCCTATGAGCAGGGAGCCTGATGTGGGGCTCCACAGGGGGCTCAGTCCCAGGACGCTGAGATCATGACCTGAGCTGAAGGCAGAGGCTTAACCAGCTGAGACACCCAGGTGCCCCAAGAATTGGGCAGATTCTTATGAAGTTAATCAATCACTTGCCATACAACCTGGAAATTTCAATCCATATATTCACACAAGACTTATATTCAAATGTTCACAGCAGCTTTATGCATAATGACCCCAAATTGGAAACAATTAAAATGTTCAACAACAGGTGAATGGATAAACAAACTGTGGTACACCCATATAATGGAACGCTACTCAACAATAAAAAGAAACAAACTATTGGTATATCTAATAACGTGGGTAAATCTCAAAAGCAGTATGTTAAACGGAAGAAGCCAGGCACAAAAGAGTACCTACTGCATGATTCCATTTACATGAAATTCTAGAAAATGCATAGTAATCCATGACAAAAAAGCAGCATAGCAACTGCCTGGCTCTAGTGGTGGAGTGTAGGGGTGGTTGGGGGTGGAATGTATGGATTTATGCCAAAGAGAACTAAGGACCATTCGGGAGGAGCAGAAGTCTTGATGGTGTTGGTCATTATAGCACTATGTATATATTTGTCAAAGCTTGTTAAATTGTACCTTTTTAATGTGTACAGTTTATTGTGCATACATTGTATCTCAACAAGGCTGGTTTTTAAAATGGAATCAAAGAAGTGGAAATAAGAGTGTCAATAATTTATCATTCCCTTATCATCCGTTGGTCAACACTGATGGGCATTTCAAACCCAAGAAGTGCTGTCCATTGCAGAGAAATCCTGAAATCACAGGCCCAGTGAGAAACAAATGCATCAATGTTCCTAATTTTTAAAGGCCCTCTGTACCTTGTAAAGCAATGTTTTGATTCTGGTTTTGTTCCGACAACCGTTCAGCACTGACCCGAATATATTAATCTATAAACTCTTTGAGAAGGATAACTCTGCCACATCACATTCTTCCCAGAGCACATGAAAAGAATCAAATGCATTGTTCGTTGAAGTGACCAAATAAATAAGTGAATGAATAGAAGGAATTTCTATGATAATTTATAACTCTAACACTTCTATATATATTATTTATCTCTTTAGGAAATGCTGTCTATTCATCTTTAAATATAGTAAGACATCATCTATATGAGCATCACAAATTTAGAACCTTGAAGAAGCTGTATAAGCAGAGCCGGGGTTTATTTTGCATTGTTGGGGATAAAAGCATCTGACCAAACAACAGTGTAACAACATGACAATGATCGCCACCCTCATTTTGCATGTCATTTCAGGGTTTACAAGTGGCCTTCACAAACATTAATTCATTTAAAGCATTTAGGAGCACTATTTTTAGCAAAAGGCAGCTTCTAACTATAAATAACAGAATCTGTTCATGCACTGAAGAAAAATTTCTAAGGGCTTTTCTAGTTAACACTTTGTTAATCTGTTCTAAACAAAGACAGAGAGAGAGAGAGTGTGCAACATGATTACATTTTAAATTACAACCCAGAATTATCATCATCTTTACAAATGGTTAGTCTGCACTGCAAGATAGTTCTTCCCAATACACCAGTGTTCTTAATTGACCATCAGTCCTCTTCCTGGAAACTCTCCACTCCCTTAGCTTCTCTGATCTGCAGGATCTCCGGTTATCCCTCTGACCCATCCTTTCTGTTTCTTCAGTGGGCTTACCCTCCTCCAGTCACCACTAAATGTGGAAGTTGTCCCCCTGGGGTTCCACTGTTGGCTATCCTCCCTTGCTATGCTATACACTCTTCCTGGGAAGTTATGTGATTCTAGGAACTTCAACTCCCAGCCAAAATCTCTATCACCAGAAAATACTTTGCAGATAATCAAGCCATACCCTCAACCAAACCTTTTCTCCCCCCAGAGTCTTTTATTTTTTGGAATTTCCTTCTACTCTGCTGCTGAACCCAGAATCACAAGAGCCATTTTTGACACTCCCTCTCTCATCTTCCCACATTCATTCTCACAAAGTACTAGTATTTCCATATTCTAAATGTTTTTGGAATCCTTCCTTTCTGTGCCAGACACAAACCTCATGGACCTCATCAAATTCCTTCCAATGCTTCCTTCCTTCCTACAGCTCCAACAGCATCCCAGTCCCAACCAATCACCTGCCCTTGGAGCACCAAGCACCCAGCAGAGTCGACCACTAGCAGGCCCAGAGTGTTAGGATCTCTGCCACTTCCAGGCTTGAATGGAACAGCACACGGAGTGTGGCATCTGGCATCTTACAGGATCTGGCATCTTACAGGAATGCGCTGTTGCCGGGGGGCAGGTAACACAACTCAGTGATGTGTTGTGCTAACTCCATGAAGTGAAAACAGGAGACAGGGGGGATCAAAGCAGACCAGTTTGCCTTCCTTCATCTCTTCATGGGCTACCCATAAGCAGTTTTTTCTTGTGCCCTGTCTAGGGAAGTTCAACATGCTGAGCAATGCACCTGCCAGTTGACCTCCTATGTCCCTTCCCAGCGTGTTGAAAGTGGTAGCCATCACAGTAAGATATCACTTGTTATCCCTCCACATCTAACCATCATGGTAATTCGTCACTACATATTATATAGAGCCTAGCATGTCATAGGCACTCAATAATGGAAACAATTATTATGATACTATGATATTATGTATCCAAAATAGGCAACGCTATTGTTCTTTTAGTTTCTTATGAAGCCAGACCATTGTCTCAAAAACTGCATTCATTATGTATCAATTAATTTGTATCCATTTTGTTAAATATAAACCAAACATAACTTTCATAGACAAAGTCTGGAAGAAGAAAACCAAATGTCTACAGTAATCTATTTGTGGTGGGATTCTTTGCTTTTCTTTAATACGCTTTTCAAAAATTTACACATTTTTCTGCCACAAGATATATTCCATCCACTATCAAAATAAAATGATTAAACTTTAAAACATCTGTTGTTATGAAAGCAATAAGGTTAATAAATGTTAAATAATAGCATGAATAAACAGCAAGAATAATCAATGCCATTCTTACTTGTTTAACAAAATGGTTGGCATTTAGGAGAGCTTGTGTAGCCTTATTGCAAGTTTCTGTAAGGATTATTAGATCGGAAATGAGCCTGAAAACATTATAACTACCAAAACCAGGAACTTGAGGACCCCAGGTTGGAAAACCCTAAAGGGGCTGAATTCGAACATCTTAATAAGATTTAAGCACTGTCCTTATTAATGGAAAACCAATCCCACCCTATTAAAAGCCAATATGCATCTTTGGGCCATTTCTAACAGTTTCTTTGAAAATGCGTGTAGAGCCTCACAAAAGTGGTTGCTTTTGTTTTTGTTTTCTGAAAACTTTGACCTACTTTGATAATGATATTCCTAAGCCTGTCCAGATGTTTGACGTCAATAAAACAACTAAGCCTATTAAATAGGATCCTGCTCACATTCTCTAGACACAAGCCTGAAGCTCGGTGACTTTAATGGATTATTTCTAAGTGAGGTCTCTGTCTCCTCTTTCCATTTAAAGATTCAACAAGTCAGCTGAAGAAAGGACCAGGACCAGGGCCATCTGGATTCTATGGTTCTATGCCGAAAAGCAAACATGTATTTCCAGGTTATTCCCTAGTTGAAAATTCTACCCGTTTGTCTTTTGGGGACTGAAATGAGGCTGCAAACAGAGCCAATGTAAGCTCAGTAAACATCACAGAGTGACAGCCAAACATGCTGCACACTATCTCCAGGGTACTGAAAATGTACCCCTGTGACAAGTCACAGCAACCAAAAATGTGTGTCATCATATCGCTCTGCTTTTCACATACACCCCCCACAGGAGGGTTTTATGCCTCTTTTCTTCACTTTCTCTGCCTCAATTCCCTTCCCTCTCCCCTTCAGCTTTACTTACTTCAGAACTGTATTTAATTCACTAACTGCATCAGAACTGGTCCCCTTCACAAAGCTGCGACCCCCCCCACCAATCTGACAAGAGGTCCCTTGCTGGGACACAGAACCCCCAGTTTCAGTTGTTGCTCTGAACCTCAGTGTATTTTGCTTCCCCACACTGTCTCCCCGAATGAAAGAAAGGTAAGTTTGAGCACTTACTAGTTGGTGAAACATATGTCCATTAAAGAAAAGAGATTAAAGGAAAAAATAAACCCTTTCCAATTTCTCAAGACCCAAAAGGTCTCAAACCACAGAAATATAAAAAAAGGGAAAACCCAAAGAGGGAAGAAAAATTCTGGAAAAAATCTATTCCAAGTTCCCAATCTCTAAGGAAAGTAGAATATTCTAGAACCAGGTCTTTATTTTGAAATACCTTTCTTGGGTGGCATCGTGACGGTGTCCTGTCAGAGTGTCTTAGCAGCCAGCTGACTTAATGAAGGATGACAGGTGGAAGGGACAAATGTTTCAGGTTTGGTCCAGCACATCCACACGCTTCTGCCTGTCTCTGAAAGTGCTCCCTGGTGCCATTTCACAGTCTGAAACATAAGAAGGTACTAATTTCCTCGCCATTAAATTTTCATGAATGTTTAGTTTGCCATTTAGGGATGGAGTACTCAGGTCAAAAGGGTTGTATTTGGGGCTTGCGTTTGAAATAAAACTAAACTGATCGTGTAAGCTATATTCAAAGCAAATCTGGCTTCAGCCCAGTATGTATGTGCTAGCCTGCCTTGTTTTGAATCCCTTCCATTTTAGGGCTTTATCAGAACTACAAATACTGAGGGCAGTGTGAGTGCACTCTTACGGACTCTTACTGAGAAATACTGACCACCAAATGTACTTGGTAAAAGAAATGAGGAAATAAACAAGATACTCCTACATCTGGAGTTAGGGTGTAATAGCAAAACTATAGAGCATTCAACTTAGCCATCAGTCTCCAATGTGGGGAAACCTGGACACATTGTATTTATTTTCTCAACTCCTGGACAATAAAACTGGCTGTGAGAGGAAGGTGCTACTTTCTGGACACAATTTTAAAACTTTCCTCTTTATCAGAACTTCTCATTTAAAGGTGGTCAATCTTTGCTTTAAAATGATAAAAAAAGATTTCTACCGTTGAAAAGAAAGGGACAGAAAGTGCTGTAATTTAATGTCGCAAAAGAGGCTGCCTTTTTGAGAGTGAGGACACAGGCATTCTCTGGTTACTTCGGTGATAGCCACTGACCTTGGCAAAAGGAAGCAGTGTTTTGAAATGGATCCCCATGGCATATTTACACCAGAGTAGCTTTTGGCTTCACAGATGGATTGGTGCACAGATCTGAGCCTTTTTGCATATAAAGACTAGTACGCAGATTCTAGCCAAAGTAGGGATGGAGCCCTGCATGGGGCTCTCTGCTCAGCAGGGAGTCTGCTTCTCCTTATCTCCACCCCGCTTATGCTTGCATTCTGTCTCTCTCTCCCTCTGAAATAAATAAATAAAATCTTTAAAAAATAAATAAATAAATAAATAAAGATGCCCAGAATGGTTCTTCAACTTGAGAATTTATAAAGACATCAAGAAATTTTATTGTAAATCATTGGACATTTAACCTAGGGTGAAAATAATATGTAATTTAATTTATATTAAATATGAATATATAAAATAACTCTAAACACTATTCTAATAAAAGCCATCATAAATTTATGAGTAAAATAACAAAAGATGTTCTGCAAGTCTTGTATCCAGAAAACTGTACAAAAAAACTAAACAAAATATTAAAGACAGAAATTATAACATTAAAAATAGATGGATTCAACTACTTTAAAATAAAAAAATTCTATTCACCATAAGATGTTTCGAAGAAACTAAAGTAGATTTACATCTCACACAGCACTTCATGAGAGTATAAAAACAAAGAACCTCTATCTTTTGACAAGAAGACATGAACCCCAAAGGGAAAAAAAAATAATGACAAAAGATCTGAACAAACATTTCACACATAAATATATAAAATGGCCTGTAACCCAAGAAAAAAACGAACAACAACGTAAAAGGTTATTTCACAAAAGAAGGAAACATATGGCCAACAGACATATGAAGAAAGGCCCTATCTTACCTAGAGAAACACAAATCAACACCGCTGATGGTGTGGGTATGTTGGTCTGAAACCTTGGACTTCCTTGGGGTGAACCTGAAACAGGCCCAGGTCCACAGAGGGGCGGGAGAGGGGAGGGCACTGAAGATGGGTACATGGCAGTTTTTGTTTGTTTGTTTGTTTTTTAAGATTCTATTTATTTATTCGAGAGAGAGAGCCAGCACGATCGGGGGTGGGAGTGGGGGAGAGAAGGAGCAAAGAGACAGAAGCCGACTCCTCGCTGAGCAGGGAGCCCGATGCGGGGCTCAAGCCCAGGACCCTGGGATCATGACCTGAGCTGAAGGAAGACACTTAACGACTGAGTCACCCAGGCGCCCGGCCAAAGCCAGATGATTAACCGACTGAGCCACCCAGGAGCCCCTGTAGGTGGCAGTTTTATAAAAAACAAGGGAGTGTACTTACAAGGCTTGTCTTGGGCGACCTCGAGACAAGTAAATCTCTGTACACGCCCGCCAGAATCTTCACAGTTCATACGGAGGCCTTAATGGGGTTCAAATGGTCTCAACAATGCATTGCGCTCTCGAGGCCGTGTCCTTGAAAACAGCTCCAGCCGTGAGAATGGCGGGCAGAGTGTACATTGCAAAGATAGGGGAGGGGGAGAGGAGCCTCCAATTGCCAGGGACCAGCTGGAGGGTCAACCGGCAGTCATGCCCTCTGGATGACCTTCTCTAGCACTCCACCCCTTATGACCGGTTCTTGGGATCTGACATATTTCCCCTGTTTCACAGCGAGCCCTGAATGGTCAGCCGGGGGTTCATTCACATGGAGGTGACTCATTATACCAGAGGCAGGTACCACAGATTAAGACAATGATTCCCAAAGTAAGTAACTCCCCCCCCCCCCACCTAAAGTCCTGTGATCGGAAGCACTGACTTTATTGAGTCTGTTAGGCTGGGGGTCAAATCACTCAGGGTGCTTGCTTGTATCCTCATGTGCTTTGATAAAGAGGATACATGAGCAGACTCCTCAGCTATGAACACACGATGTTTTGCATGGATAATGGCCCAGGTGCTTCCTTGTGAGGCAGCAATAATGGCCAAGGCCGTCCTATTTCAGAGGACAGTTTTTCTCATTTGAGACATTTCAGGGTTCAGTAAGGATAGGCTTTGTCAGCTATCACGTTAAAGCTTGTGGGGCGAATTTAAGAAGGGCTGCTATCTGTGTTATCACGTCCTCCAGGTCAATATAGGGAATAAAGATGGTGGCCAGATGATTGTACCAGTGGAAAACCCAGAACATGACCACTGGCCTTGAGGAGACGGAAGTTGGCAACTCTTGTTGTTGTCAGGTGGATTTTCCTTTGTGTCCTGGGAAAATCCAGGATGCAGCAGCCCAACCCCCCAGATGAAAGCCATGGCCAAAGATTTGTGCCACACAACCACTGAGACCCAACTGGGGCTACCCAATCAATACCTGAGCAGCATGACCAGTCACTACCAAACCAGCCAATATCCTTTAATGTGACAGAATGACTGCATAGTTCTGGTGACATCCAGTCTATATCCCTGGTACAACTGGGTAGGTTCTGTTTAGAGTGGTTTTTCTGTTCTCAACATAGGAGCGCATGAGTGCTCAAAAGTTCAATACCCATATGACCCCATCCCAAATTTGAATGTAGCTACCCATGGCTCTGATGGTGGTTTTTTAGGACCCCTCTGGTGAGCAGTTTGACAGGCTGCCTGTGTAGTCGGATTGACAGAAAAAAATACCCATGTCCAATGTTATTAATACTGTGTGCCACAAACCAGATGTTTGGGTCAGTATTGGTAATATCATGAATTAAGAGTGCCAATCCTAGCTTGTTCTCCCTTAATGTACTGCTTTAGTGCCTTCTAATCCCCAACCTGAAAGGGAGATACCCACCATAGCAGTCCTGCAGAGCTAGAGAGGGGCAGCTGCCCACATTTCTAGCAGTTAGACTGATTCCTTTGTTGGGCATACAAGTGGACCCACCATAGAAAGACATTTCTATCAGGTGCCCGTGACTGGATACCACAGGAGCAGCAGAAGTTTAAGGTCAAAATGACAGATACTGAGTATGAACTTGTATGGGAAGGTCTTTCCCTTCTGTAAGAATTACACCTGTGGCCTGATTCTTGAAGTTAATGTTGGGGCTTGTAGCTTTAGGAACTTGACCATGCATGTTGGTTATAGAAGGCAGCACTGTGGACAGGGGGTTGGATATGCCAGACTAGCACCCCTGTCTTTTTCCGCCTCCTTCCAAGGTGCATGTTGTATTCCAGGTAGGGTGTGTTTCCATAGGTCCAGCTTGCAGCAGGACAATGGGATCCTGGTAGAGATTGAGCAATTCCTCCTCACTCAGAGATACAAGGTAACTCACCCATCAGGGTGGGATGTCCTACGGCAGATTTCAGTAGATAACATCTCTCCCTGGCGTGAAGGGGCTTGGTGTTTTCAGCAGCATGGCATATTGATCCACAGTGAGAGTCGGGGCAATGACATCTCCTGCAACTTCCATACATTTATAATGTTGTGTGTTTGAGCAGGTGTCCGCAGTCTGGCACACAGGACAACAGGACCTACCAGTTGATCATTCTAATGTATCAAAGCCTGGGATAATACTTTAGTTTGCCCCGCCAAGGTGGTTTTAACCTATTGGTAATTTAATCTGCTGCTTTACCATGACTTTTCCTTTCTACCAAACCTGCTGCCTGCAGTTATAGGGGCAATGGAATCTTTGTTCAATGTCATGTACTTTTGCCCAGTCTTGCACATCATGACCCTTAAAATGTGACCCCTGATCACTGTCTATTCAGCAAGGGTATCCGTACGTGGTACTCAGTTTCTCTAATCCCCTAATGGTGGCAGACTGGCTTGTGTGGCAACAGGGGAAAGCTTGGGTTAGGCCAAATAAGTCATACTCAGAGAGCAAGGCACATTTAGGATCCCTACTAGGAGGCAGGGGGCCAATATAATCAATTTGCCAATCCCTCACTGGTTGAGAACTCCAGTGGATGACCCCACAGACTCCTTTGGTAGTGGCCTTGGGCATTGTTCAGGTCACACAGGACACGCTGTTTGTTGCTGCATTGACCAAGGCACTGTATTTCAAGGGCAAGGAAGCATCCTTGGCAATGTGTCATCCCACTTGGGCACTGCAGTGGCTACTCTTTCCGCGTACCCCATCTGCTGTATCTACTGAAGGGTTAGTTACTAGGGCTTATGCCTAAGCGAAGGCATCAGCTGCCTGATTGCCAGGGTGTGTCAATGCCTTATGGGCCAGAATATGGAAAAGGACGACTGCCCCAGGCTCTCACAGGCAAACCCAATGTCTTTCCACGTATGGTGCCCCATGAGGATTCATGATCATAGACACCTTGGCTTCCCATTGTCCAAGCCATGAGGTTAATCTTTTTTTAGATAGCCCAACTATGAGTGAAAAGGGTTAATGGTCAGAGTGCGTGAGTAATCAATCACCAGCCAAGCCGCTCCAAGTCCAGCCTATTGATTGCTGAGATTCATTCCTTCTTCCAACCAGATGGTGTCAGTGTTGGGCTGAATAGTGACTGCAGTGCATGTGGGTGTCTTGCCCCTGCTAGGCCCATCTGTATACCTGGCATCAGGGGGAACTTTCATTGTCTCTCGGCAGGGGCCACCAAAGGAATAGAAGCAGGGGCGTTTGGAGGGTCTACATCCTCAAGAGTACCTGAATTTCTAGAGACAGTGGGCTGGTGGACAGGGTGCCCCTCTGCTGCAAAGAGGCATGCACTTAAAGCGGGAATTTGAGCCACAGCAGGGGGTTGATGGAACCTATGCTCAACCCATCCCTTGAAAGGAAGAAAGTTCTTACCTTGACTTGCTGTTGCTCCACGAGAGGCTTTACCTGGAGGAGTGCTGTGGACACAGCTAGGAGCTGTCCTCTATGATACTGTATCAGGTTTCTGCCCCTTCCAAGGCTGGGACCAAAATCCTAGGGACACTCTCTCCTGTTGTCTCTGCCGTAGTGTCTTCTGGAGTCACAAATACAATGTGGGGCACAGCTGTTTGATGGGGTCATCACCTTGTTTAATTTCTTCGTAGTCCACAGTCAACTGCCATGAGCCATCTGCCTTCTTTTACCATTCATACTGGGCTAATGAAAACACTATGGGCAGGGCGTACAATACTTATTCAGTGCAGTTCTCAGATAGCTTTTTCTTTTTTTTTTTTAAAGATTTTATTTATTTATTTGAGAGAGAGAGAGAATGAGAGATAGAGAGCATGAGAGGGAAGAGGGTCAGAGGGAGAGGCAGACTCCCCGCCGAGCAGGGAGTCCGATGCGGGACTCGATCCCGGGACTCCAGGATCATGACCCGAGCCGAAGGCAGTCGCTTAACCAACTGAGCCACCCAGGCGCCCCTCAGATAGCTTTTTCTATTCCTTTATACCCCCAGGCGAT